GGTACCGAAGTATGTACAAGTGGCATCGATCGGCATCCATGGATTTTTTCCAGGGGGGACAGATAATGATCCTGGCGAAGGACCCAACCATAAGCAATTGTTCGTAACGCGTTGTGGGTGCCGCTTTCGGTGGGGCCCCCTATGGGGCCACGAAGCGCTGCCCTGGGTGGGGGAACCGCATGCGAACTGCGCCACTGGGGCGGGCCTTCGGTGGAGCTCCCTATGGGGCCACGAAACGCTGCCCTGGGCGGGGGAACCGCATATCCTAACAGCGCCACTGGGGCCTTCGGTGGAGCTCCCCTATGGAGCCACAAACGCTGCCCTAAGGTAAGGGAACCTGCCGTCGAACTTGCGCCACGGGGCCCTCGGTGGAGCTCCCTAAGGGCCACTAAAAGCCTGCCACTAGGTAGGGGAACCGCTGGCGAACCTGCGCCACTGCCTTCGTGAGCCACGGACCCCGTCCAAAAGCGCTGCCCAGGGTGGGGGAAACTGCATGCGAACCCCCACTCGGGCCTTCGGTGGAGCTCCCTATGGTCCACGAAACGCTGCCCTGGGCGGGGGAACCGCATGCGAACTGCGCCACTGGGGCCTTCGGTGGAGCTCCCTATGGGGCCACGAAACGCTGCCCTGGGCGGGGGTGTGATTCCCGCTCACTCCCCGTGCACTTCCTGCATCCCCGCTCTATCCCTCACGCCCGCTCGTGCCGCTGCCGTTTTGTTTCGAACTAGGGCCCTTGGCCTTAGAGCTACGCAGATAGATTGAGCAGCGCTCTCTTTCGCCTAAAGATCGTCGCGCCGCGCGCGCCATCCATATCACAGTGGTAGCTTGGAAAAAAAAATAAAAATAAGAATAAACAAAAAGAAAAAAAAAAAGAAAGGATGAATAAAAAAAAAAGAAAAAAAACGGAAAAAAAATAAAAAAGAAGAAAAACATCGAGAAAAATAATGGATAAAAAACAAAGACGAGGCTCGCTATCCCGGCCCGCGGGGCCGTATACCCAAGACGACGTCCGCGACGTCGCACTCCATACTGGAATCGAGGCCCAGCGGCCTCCTCGCGCTGTTGCTCAGCGCCAGCATCTACGCCAGCGTCAGCGACGCCAGCATCTACGCCAGCGTCAGCGACGCCAGCATCTACGCCAGCGTCAGCGACGCCAGCACCTACGCCAGCGTCAGCGACGCCAGCACCAACGCCAGCGTCAGCGACGCCAGCGACTACGCCTACTACGCCTACAACCCTGCCAGCTCCAACGCCAGCGTCAGCGACGCCAGCGACTCCATCTTCCTTCCCACCCTTAGCAGCGACGACAGCTACTTCTCCTACGCCTGTGTCAGCGACGCGGCATATTTCTCCTACGACGGTGTCAGCGACGCCATATACTTCTCCTATGACGGTGTCAGCGACGCCATATACTTCTCCTACGACGGTGTCAGCGACGCCACATACTTCACCTACGACGGTGTCAAGATGACGGAGTTCACACACAACCAGTCAGTGATACCAAGCTGGAATGGAGATCCAGCGAAATGGCGAGATTACAAACAGGAGGTAAAATTGTGGAAGCTCAGTGAGAATTTGGAGGTGACACCAAGCTTGGCATCGAAGTTAGTCCTGCGTCTGACGGGTACAGCCAGGTCGGCCGCTCTCAACATGACGGAGCAGGAGCTCCACCCGCCGCCGGACGACGGCATCGAGGATGCGAACGAGAAGAAGCGCGATCGCAACCAGAAGGGCATCGAGAACGTGCTAAAGCACCTCGAGACAAACCTAGGCCAGCAGAAGCCGGTGCAGAAGGGAGAGACGCTAGAAAAGTTCTTCGAGTCGACTCAGCACCATCGCCGCCGTGGAGAACGCACGACGGATTGGCTCGTGCGATTCGAAGCGGGACTACAGCAACTACGCGAGAACGAGGTTGACCTCACTACGCTTGACGACGTGGCCGGCTGGTTCCTGCTACGCAAGGCTGGGCTCACGGCCGAGCGCCGTGAGCGCGTCGTGGGCAACTTGCCGGACGAGCACTACTCATTTCAGCGCATCAGGGGCCTGCTGGTGCGCATGTTCCCCGATATCCACATCTGAACGACACGCGAGCTTGCCGTCACGATCGTGGCCGCAGCGATCAAACAGTAGTTGGCAGCGATCACCGCCAAGCCGAACACGATCAGCCAACATCGCTGACGAGCCAGAAGACGAGCATGAGGACTCGGAGGACGGCGACGACAACGATGCGGAGGCAGACGTCCAGGACATCGTGCGCCAGGAGCTCGAGGCCTTCAGCGCCGAGCTGGAGCAGTCAAATTACGACCTCGGCGAGGTGTTCGATCGGGGCGACTCTGCTAAGGTGGAGGCTGCCGCGGCGGAGCTCGCCGCGATTCCCGAGGCCATGGCGACCATGCGGTCGGCCCGGGAAGCCATCAAGGGCCGCGGGAAGGCTTCGGCCAAGCGCCGACCCGCGGGCAAGCTACAAGGCCGCGTGGACCAGCGCAAGAAGAACTCCAAGTGCTGGGACTGCGGCGAGGCGGGGCACTGGACCGGTGACAAGGAGTGCCCGACACCAGGGGCTCGAAAGTTCGCCCCAAATTCTAAGCAAAAGGGCGGAGGA